GGAATGGGGAATTTCATGGACCTAAGGAAGATGGAGTTGTTTGGTTTTCGTTGTTTTACCTCTAATTACCCATGAGCAAACTTTAGATCTTTTTTTTCCAATGGCTTGCTTATTAGGCAAATTTAGATAGATTATCATGCCAATAAAAAAAAAGATACTTCGCTGTCAGAAAAGGCCAGTATCTGCCCACTTTAATCCCTTGCTTCAAAAATACTATTACAACATTTTGTTTTTAAAAATGTCTCAAGAATATTTTTTCGCTATTGCAAAACAATGAGGTAGAAGGTTTTTGTCTAGGTCAGTTAGCAATACTCATTTTTTTTCAATCATTTTTGTTCTGGAAAGTTTAAAAAAGCAGTCCTGAATCAGAAAGGAATATGGAAAGTTTTAGCTACTGATTAAATTTGGCCAAGCTAAAACCAAAACCAAACCTTTGGAAGCTGGATGTTACAACATGTGACATAGTTTGCCCATTTAGATGTGTAGCCTGCACTGCTGCATAGTTGTAGATCTCAAAACTTGGAACAGATCTTTAGCTACTTTATATGTGTTTAACAGTGTGAAGCATACACCGTGTTTGGAAAACATGCGCATTCTTAAAAATTTATAAAGGTTCGTGTCATTTAATTTCAGTCTTTCTAACCAGTAATGTTTTTATTGTAATCTAAACCCCATGTAATGTTTGTTTTGGAAGGTGCTTCTCCTGGCCTGAGTCCTGTGGGTTCACCTAGTCATGGATCTGTCTCCAGTGGGGCTTTCAGCAGCTGGTCACCTGTAGAATTTCCTGATACTGCTGATTTTCTTACAAAACCAAGCATTAATATACATAAGCCTCCAGGATACACATTTAGTTCTCCAGATATTCAGCAACAAGCTAGAACACCTGTAGGTTATATGTGTAGCAGGTACTGTAAACTCTTACATTTTTGGTAACTTCATATGCGTTGAAAAAAATACACTAAAAATGAAAAAAAATAAGAAGACCTATACTTCCACTAGTATTGAAAAAAGGGATGTGATCTCATAATAATCTGTAACTGCATTATCCAGGGCACACTAAAGAATGCTGTATGTATGCCATTGATTTCAAATGGCTTATCCTTGAAAGCAGCAGTTGTTGGAGAGTAACGGTATTTTACAGTTTTTTAGAAAAGGAGGACTTCCTACCTGGGAATTGAATTCTGTATTTCTGAATACTTTCTAAATAATTAACTCTACTTTATTAATTCATGGAAGTGAGTCCAGGGGAGATGATGGTTGATTATTTTCTAAATACAGACTAAATCTGGATGTGCCAAATTTAGGAGAAAATACTAAGGTTACTTGGTGAAGGAACCTTAAAAAAATTGCCTTTTTAAGAAAAGTAATTTGCAGATATTTTTTCAGTACAACACAGCAGTAGCAAGAGAAGAAAATTACTGACTGTTGTAAATATTTTTCATGTATTCTGTAAGCTGTGGACGTCAGATACCCAAGCCTGTTCCAACAGCAGAACCAGAATTTGCAGAATATAAAGACAGAAAATCAGGTGGGATTTCAAAATAGACAAATATTTATATCAAGTTGCTTCTTATTTAAAGTCAATTAAATTAAATTTTTTGTATTTCTACATGACATTTTTCCTATACTTTAAGTAATTCATATGCATATATTCTATTCTAGCTTGTGACTTAGGATAATCAAGGTAATCTAAAATATTGCCTTCTTCAGACCGAGGATTTTATAATAGGCTTTATAGTTCTGTACTCCATATATTAAACAAGTTCTCTGCCATCTCATCTGAACTAATCACTGAACCAATTTTTGCAAGTAAAAAGTTATGCTTCTAGCTTTTCTCAATCTTCAAATAGGTTTTGTCTAATATAATTTCTTTACAACTTTTTTGTTGTTAAATTCTTAAAAATGGTTTAGAAACAAGCTATTACTTATATGTCTGTGAAGAATCTGTATGATCGGTTCAAGAATTATTAGGTGGTAGTAATTTACAATCAAATTATTGATATAGTATTTATGTATGTATTTTCTTTAAGGTGAAATTGGAAGTGCTAGTGTTTCAAAAGAATCTTTCAACCATACAGAGAAGAAGAAAGATGAAAGGAAGGAAACAATTGATCAAACACAAAATAATCTGCTTGTAAGCATGTAATTGCAAAAAAAACCTTGCAATAACTTTTATCAATACAGTATTTATCATTTCTAACAGGCTATAAAGAGGTCTTTGCATTGCTAAGAATTGTAATTTCTGAAGGGAAATGGTGCATTGTGGGAGATCAATTTTTGTTTAACAATTGTGAATTTCCAGCTTGCATAAAATTCATTAGCAAATTGCAAGAAAGATGGTGATTGTATTAATTTTTGTTGATCAAAATTAATTTGTGTGGATTTAATGTTGATAGTATGCTCAAACACTGATTGGCAGTATTTTCTCTTGGAAGTTTATGAAAGATGTGGCAGTTTCAGTGAGACTTACAAATGAATGTTCCTACAGTGAAGTATATTGGAAGTGCAGGGAGACAAATGGTTTAAGCTTTACTAACGTTTTGAGTTTATACATCAATTTTTTTAAAGCTTATTCAGTTAAAGAACTCCTAAAACTCAATAAATGTTTTGTTAGCCTATGAATATTTTTGTTTTATTAACTCATCTTGTTTAAAAAGAAATACGAATGAAAATTTAGCACCATCTCAGAAAGCCCTGGAATTTCCTGCCCCAAAATATGAAAAGTCAAATCCTTACCTGTGTTCTTTGTACTATTGATTTATGCTTTTCTCGTAGCCATAGTTGCAGCACCATTCAATAAGTTCAATCATGATTTACTGTTTTCATGGCTTTTTTTCCCCAATACAAATGACAAATTAGTTTTCATTGTTATTTTAGAGATGATAAAGTATCTTACTCTCATACAGGTAGAGCAGAGTCCTACATTAGAAACAATGTTTTTAGACCATGATTCGCTAATGGAGAAGATGAACAATTGGAATTTCCAAATTTTTGACCTTGTACAAGAAATGGGAGACCAGTCTGGAAGGATCCTTAGCCAGGTTTGTTGTCTTTTATTATATGACAGAGAGTGTGTTAAGCTGTCATGCTTATATATTTTATTTAAACCATGAAGAAGTTTTGCAGTCAACATATATATGAATGCTAACTTGAAAAGTAGAAATATCATTTCTCATGTACTCCACCTCATTGTAAAACATAAAAAGTGATTTATCTATAGGCAACTTGCTCCAATTTTTTTGAATTTTATTCTCAATGTAAAAATAGGTTAGATTCACACTTACTAGGTTTTGTAGTAATATGCCATTTCCTATGAAAAATTGTCTCCTGCTTTCAGAATTACTACCTTGTTTGTCAACCATTTCTTTTTTCTTTATTTCAGTAAAATATTTCTGCCAGAGCTACACCTGTGGGGGAAGAGAAGTGATCTTTTAGGCAGTCTTTTGCCTCTTGATCCTACAAACAATGGGATTTTTTTTCCATGCTGCTTTCTGCATGTAGTATCCCTTTTATCTCTTTCTGACTTATTACTAAGCTCTTTCGTGCAGTTTCATGTTGTGCTGAAGCCAATCTACTGGCAGGTGCAAAAGTATGATCCTGTTTGCTCTTCCCCAGCCTCTCCCATTCATCATTGTCATCTGGAAGTGTCTGTCTCTTTCTTTGTACTGGATTTAGCAATCATGGAGCTATAGTACGAGCTGGATTTGCTTCTCATCTGACCACATAATATTTTTATTGCCAGTATCTTAGTTGCCTACCCTGGAGTGGAATGCATGTTACTCTTGTTTAAGGGTAGCATTAGGAACAATTATCTGGAGGGAAGGAAGCAGGTTAGAAACACTAAAGTGCAGTTGGAACCATAGGCCTGCACCTATACTGAAGACAGGAAAAAACAATGGGGATAATTTTATTTTTGTCATTAGACACTGTCTTTTCTTTCATAATACACTTTATTCTGGGTATTGTTTTAAATATTCAGTTAGTCTTGTTTAATCAATGTCTTCAGGTCTTTTGTCACCTGTTAGTGACAACTGTTTATGTGCAGACTAAAATGCCACAATCCACTTTTGAGTGGTGTTTTTACTGTAGTATGCTAGTACTCTGTGATCCACGTTAGCTCGCATTTCATTTGTGTGCAATCTAGGGCATGGTTCAAACCTGTAAGGACATCAGTGTGCAGGTTTCTACTTTACCAGAATTTCTGTATCAGTTCTTCCTGATACTATATGTACGTGTACTACGTGTCCTCCTCCTCCCGCCCCAGTCCTTTTGCCTGTTGTGCTCTAAGCGCCTGATAAATATCTTATTTAAGAGCCAATTAAATAGTGTAATTTACCATCATCAGTTGTAAAGTTCTCAGATTGGGTATGTGTAAGGGGACTGGTTGGGACGGGTGGAAGGAGGGATGTCCCTTAATTTTACTCTCATGTTCCTTTGAGCACCTCCCACACTTCAGGACTTACTCTTTCTCTCAAGTGTCTGGGAAAGAAGTGACAAAAGGAGTAGCAGTGACTTGTTTTGAAACGCTTTCTTAATATTTGCAGTCTTGGGGCAGGGGAATTAGGTCTTTGTAGTCACTAAGTTCTACTATAATAATATATTTGCACAGTATATACATGTGTGGGTGTTCTGAGTATATTTTTGAAGTATTTTTTCATTTACCAGCTAGCTTTGTTAAGAATACCCAAAATAAGTCATAACGAATAAAAGAAATAGGATACATTTGCCGAAGTCTCAAAAAGAAATACAATGTTGATATCTTTTTTATATTAATGGCTCCACTACTATAGTTAAGTAATTTGAATTTCTGAATAATAAGTAAGAATACAGATTTCTTCTTTTTAGGTCAATAATGGAATAAAACATGAGTTCTTTAACATTATGAAAATTTTGGAAAATATTATTAAAAATAATCAGTTGTGCACAGAATTTATGAGTAAAGAAATAAAAGCTTTTATTATGCTGTATTTGAGAGGATGATAAAATTCCACATTTTTGTGCTAAAAAAATAAACCTATTTCTATGACAGTAGCTTTCAGATAATCTTTAAGGGAATTTCGATAATTTTTATCTCAATCAGCAAGCAAAATTTTATAAACAGGAATATTTTTAAAGTTGAAAAAGCAGAATATGCTTAGATATATTTTTCAGACTAATATTAATTTTAATATGTATTTAGGTAACTTATACCTTGTTTCAAGACACTGGTTTGTTTGAAATTTTCAAAATCCCAACTCAAGAATTCATTAATTACTTCTGTGCACTAGAAAATGGCTACCGAGACATTCCCTGTAAGTACTATCCAATTACAAATGTTTTTCTTTTATATTAGTGTATCTATCTCCTTTAGTTTGTGTATTAGTTTAATGTTTACTACAGAGGTAGACAATATCTGAACTTAGTATGTTTTTAAATAACACATTTGTTAGAATTTAGAACTAATTTAATGAATTGCAGCAAAAAAAATGGTGAACTCCAAAACTGAATTTGTTAATATGTAGGTTGAATATAATTTTAAAGAAATTGAATGACTAGTTGAATCAAGCATATTGAAGTCAATGGGAGCGTATTTGTTGATGTAACCGAAATTTGGTTTAGGCCTGTAATAGAATAATAAGAAAATACAGAATGTTGACAGTAATTATTCATCTTGCTGTTTAGGACAGCCAAATTTATTGGAAAACAAAACACACACATATACACACACCACCCCATGTCACAGATGTTTGCACCAACCCTGGTGCTTGTAGGTGTCAGATTGGAAGCAATGCTAGTGGCTTACCATCACTGATTTAAAAGGCTACTTAATCCCCTCCTGACTCTCAGTTAGGATGAAGTATGCTTAGAGGATGTTTGATGTTTATCTAACTTGTTTTTTAAAAACGTTAAGTGATATAGCCTCTACTAACAATTTAAATTCAACTTTTCCTTTATATTTAATCAAAATCTCCCTTATAGTAAATTTGGTACATTACATTTCTTTTTGCTCCTTTTAGTTATATTTCAGATAATGTTTTTTGTTATATTTTGGTAATTTTCAGATCACAATCGTATACATGCCACAGATGTTCTTCATGCAGTATGGTATCTGACAACACGGCCCATTCCTGGATTTCAGCAAATTCATAATGAGCATATAATGGAAAGTGATATGGGTATGTATTCACATAGGTTATTTTTTTTCATTTGCTGTAAGAGTGTTTTAATGAGACTACAATAGGTAGAACAAGTTACTCTGGAAGAAAATATCTAATTATTCTTATCACTCAAATATTTTTTTGTATTTTAATATAAATTCTTAATATAAGGTAGTAGAAATATCACAATGTTAGTATACGCCATTCAGAAATATCATGCAGTAGATTTTTAGAAAGATTATTAGATGAGTAGTGGTTAGTTTGTTAGCCAAGAATACAGGTTCACTTAATAAATTTTCTATACCGAATGAAACCTCTGCATACTGCTACAGTCAGCGTATTTTTAGCATTTGAAATACATTAGACTAATATTTTTTAACTGTATTGGGAAATTAAATAGAACAAAGAAAAAATACCAAAGTCGAAGTATTTAACTTAATTGAAATTCTCCTTAATGGTTTTAGTGTAAAAATGAGTATTTCGGAATTCTGTATTAGATATAACATGCAGACATTCAGGCATTGACGTGACTACCATAACAGTAACTGCATAAGAGTATCCCTGAAAGAGAAATAAAGACTTCAGATTCAAATTTTGGATGATGTTAGTCTAACCAGGTTGGACGGGGCTCTGAGCAACCTGATCTAGTTAGCAGTGTCCCTGCTCACTGCAGGGGGGTTGGACTAGATGACCTCTAGGGGTCCCTTCCAACCTAAAACATTCTATGATTCTATGACTCTAACAAAGCTTTCTTTTGTGTTGTCTGTGTCTAAGTTTAAATTTAGATTTGTAATTTTTACTAAAATGCATACTGTAAGTAAAATATGATTATTCTAAATATACACTTCTATACTAAAATGTATGTATTTAAGAAAAATAAAACGGGGAAATCAAGCACTCTAAGAACTCTGTTTTATATGTGCAGTAGAAAAAGATAAGGTGCAAGTCGTGGCTTTTAAAGGGCTGTAATTGTAAGAAGTCATTTGTGAACTGTACAGAACATCATACAGTGTATGTTATTTCTTTCTGACTAATTAGCTCTTCTACTGTTGCCTTTCTCTTTTTTCCAAGTTTATCCATATCCACTGATTGCACGTTATTGCATTTTCCTTCTCTTAAGTGTTAAAAGGTTTGAGACTGGAGACTTGACTGGAGGAAAGAAAAATCATAAAAATACTTTTGTTTTCCTTTACAAAAAAGTAAAATTAAAATAAGAAATTATAGTATTATTGCTTTGGAACTCTTCCGGTATAAAAGTTACTAGGATTTTTAATTCTCATTTATACTACTAAGGCAAAAGAGCGCCTTTTTATTATGCAGTGACAAAATAAGTAATACTGTTTTGGTTTGGTTTTTTTAAGTAGTGACTTTGTCCAGGGGAAAGAGAATAAAACTGTGAAACTCTTTTTCATGCAAATATTTCTAACTTAATAGGTTTAGTTCCTTTTGCAGTAGTTTCCACTGTCCCCTGAGCTTTTTCTATAGGTCTGCAAGTTCAAGAAATGGACACATTATAGAAATACTAAGGGTGATGCTGATTGAGCCTTCCTTGGCCTTACTGAGGTGGGAGAGAAACTGTAGAATGCTCTGTTAGTGCTGTCATTTTAAGAAGGGAATGAAATTCCAGGTCTGCATAACAGCAGGAGGTAACCAGCAGGAGGAAAATCCATGTGGATTTTCCAAGATCTGTAGTTTGGACTCTGAGGTGTACGGTTTTGCTTGTTTTTCCCCTTCTCCTCATTCCCTCCCATGGAACAAGTACCTACAAGTACATTTTAATAATTAAAAGCTTAGATTGTTATGGTTGCTTTCTAATCTAAATGACAACTCTACAGCAATTAAGAGAGATAGACCACATGGCCAGTGTTCTTTGTTCCACTAGATTGCCTTCTGTACTTGCTGAAACATTCCTCTGAATCAGCCTTCTGCAGCAGGAGTGAACTGTAGCTGCAGAGAGTGACTTCCTCTGTTTTATGTCTTCTAAGTCACCACACAGTCCCAAGGACCAAGGCAAATCTTTTCTTCCTTCCTCTCCTCTTCCAATGAGGGCAGTAAGCATGGATATTTGCCTCACACATATTGCCAGAAGTGTAAAGCCTATGTTTCTTTTTCTAAAATTGCATGGCAAGAGTGAGCTCTAACTGTGGTGAATTAAAAATATTCTTTTTTCCTGATTATGACTGTGCAAAGCTCTTCTGAAAGCCTCCTTTATTTGTGTGAACGATAGTTATGCCTCAGCATTCTAATGGGAAATCTTGTCTGAAAAAAACAATCCTGAAGTGTATCTGTGTGTAGTACTAGGTAAAGAACTCGTTTTAGAACAGGAGCATTCTGCTTTCCAGTTTTGGGACACTTCTTACAGGCTCCACAGTGTCCTGTAGGATGTTGCCCTCCTTGTGTAATGTTGTGAAACAGCTGAAGCTTTCTATGTATTTGTAAGACTGCATCTACTCTTTTGGACAACCCGCGTGGCCCTGACAACTTTACAACTTACTGGCTTTTCAACTTTTCTTCAGGATTGCAGTATGGCTTTTTTTTTTTAAAGTATAAGTGTTTCTTTGCCAATTATTCAGCTCCACAATTATAAGGATAACTATGTTAAGATTATGTTCACAATAGTACCTGGCCAAGTCATTTAAAATGTATTAAAAATATGAATGAAATAATGTTCTAAAAAGTACTTTATTTTTGTATTTTCAATTTTCTTAGATGAAGCCAGTGGTATTGCCCCTGTTCAAGTCAGCTATATTTCTTCAAAAAGTTGTTCTATTGCTGATGACAGCAATGGTTGTCTGGCATCAAACATTCCTCCTTTGGAATTGATGGCTCTATATGTAGCAGCTGCCATGCATGATTATGATCATCCTGGTCGTACAAATGCTTTTCTAGTGGCTACAAATGCACCTCAGGTAAGAAATTCTTTAACCAGACAATTATTTGTCTGTATCTGAAACCAGAATAATGAAAGTTTTTCTCTTCTATATCCCTACTGTGGCCTTTGTTAAAGATTAAAGTTAAAGATTATTTCATAGAGAGCTGGCCCTAGAACTGTCTAAGCAGCTAATTCATGGATATCTTACATTTTGGGAGTCCTCTGGAATCATAGTGGTGTCTGCATTTTCCATAAAAACACAAATTCCTCTTAATAGTCCACTTAACTGCATTGCATAATCTCTGTATTTCCAATTAGTCCTTTATGGTAAATAGCCATTAACTTTAAGGGGGGATGAGTAAAATAAGAAGAAATCATCGAGGCATCCTTTGCTTTTATCTCCCATATTGAACTTCCTGTTAGAACAGAGAGGAGAGAGAGAGGAGATTCTATGCTTTTCAGGGTCTAAAAGGCTAAGACAAAGGAGGTGAAGGAGAGTAAAGCTAAACAAAATAGCAGATGGGGTGGGGTTGGGGGGGGAAAGGTGGTGCAGGGAAGAATTGGAAGGAAAAACACTGAAGAAAAGATGCCTAAACTGCATGGTGTAATATTTTTATATAAAGAGTGGAATATTATCTGGGGAAGAATCTTTATGATGGCCATTTGGATCTCTCTTAATAAGTTAGATACAAAAAACTTAATAATAACAACAACAATAATAATAGTAAATCAGAAACCAATACAACTTGTCAGGAGATGGAGACTTTAAAAGTGAACTTCCCAGTCAGTTTTCAACAATTTCTTATTACAAAAAAAGTTAGGAGGTAGGCAGTTATGTATTTCTCCTGAAAAGAGTATACAAGGAAGAATAAAAACAACGCAGACATTCATCTCTGATTTTCAAAAGTATACACATTCATTTTGTTAATGATCTCTTCCTTTCCTCAAAACATAGATTCTTTTTGCAGTTTTTGAAAGAATTTTTAGGTCCTATTTAATCTATGTTCAGTTAATTATTTTCTAGGGTGTTTTATATAAACATGGGAGTTGTGAGTAAAATCTATTACTGTTTTAATATTTTAGTTAATTCAGTTGCAGTTAAAATGCATTCATCATCAGCATTAAGCGTAGCACATTGAAAATTAGTGATACTCCACACCATTTTGCATTAACCACAGTACATATATGCTTTGGAGTTCTTTTTGGGGTTTGTTTTTTTTGGTTTTTTTTAAACAGTACTGCAATTAAGAGGAATTAAAAGAATATACTTAGATCTGGGGTTTGGTGGGGGTTTTTTTGTTTGTTTTTGTTTGGTTTTTTTTTATGTCAGTGTGTGTGCTCCACGCATACTGCCAAGAGTGCAAAGTCTATATTTTAAGTGGTTTGTGTATGTGTGTCTACAATGTGAATGTAGATGTCACTAAGACATTGTTATGGACTTTTAAGGAAAGAAAAAACTTTGTTAATTGTTTGAGGTTCCTTCTTCTCATCTGCCATTGTTGTTTCACTTTAACCCACAAAACCAGAAGGCAAAACATAATTTCCAACACTTGTTTTCTTTTTTTTTTTTAAATTAAGACTTGTTTCTGACTAGCCCTTAAGCTGCAGAATATTTAATTATAGTTTTAAATCTTTACCCTGTCATTTTTGATTCGCTCTCTTTTTTTTTTTTTTCTTTCTTTTTTGGTAGGCTGTTCTCTACAATGACAGATCAGTCTTAGAAAATCACCATGCTGCTGCTGCCTGGAATCTTTTCTTATCAAGACCAGAATACAACTTTTTATCAAATCTTGATCATGTAGAATTCAAGCGTTTTCGTTTCTTAGTGATTGAAGCAATCCTTGCCACAGATCTCAAGAAGCATTTTGATTTCCTTGCAGAATTTAATGCCAAGGTTTGTTACATTTTAGTATCTGCACTGAGCTAGTCATGATATCCTGATGCTAGTGTTGCTACTCAGTAGTTGTTAGTATTAATAACTTGCATTTAAAGTTTTATATTAATTAAATTTAAGTTACTAAAAAAATGAAAATAGATTATTTCCTTTGTACAAACCAACTGTAGATCATTTTGTAGATTGCCTAATAAGCCTAGCAGATGTGACATAGGGACCCACAGGAGACCTCGATCATGTCTCACGTTTCCACCTTCTGAGAGATAGTAAATGACTTCTTTTTACTATATAAGATAAAAGAGTATATAGAAAATTAATACACCTGTCTGTTGTGCAAAGCTTGAAAAAAAACCATTGATGAATAGTTTTAACTTAACTTTTAAAAATATATGTGCTCAACCCAGGTCAATGATATCAACAGTCATGGTATAGAATGGAGCAATGAAAATGATCGCCTACTGGCCTGTCAAATATGCATCAAACTGGCAGATATTAATGGCCCAGCAAAAGTTAGAGAGCTGCATCTGAAATGGACAGAAGGCATTGTTAATGAATTTTATGAACAGGTGGGTATGGAAAGCTTAATTTACTCTTTTTTAGTAACAGGCAGATGATCAATTCTTTGCATTACCAAATATATAACTAAATTAAACATTATTCCTTGTGTTAAATCTTCAGGTAAGGTATTTCCATCTTCTCTTTCTGAATACTGAAAATTTATTTTTGTAGGTAGCATACTAACATAATCTTTTACGTCCTATCAGTTGTGTTAGAAGCTTGAAAACAAGGTCCTTGCCAATGTTGCCCATTTTTCAGATATGAGTTTATTTTCTTTTGGTTTTTTTTCTTAGGATGATGCTGATGCACTTTGGGAAGTTAAGTTCACTGGTATGTTTCCAGGTCAAAGAATATGTATAGAATCCACAAGAATGGAAATGTATGTTCAGCTAATTCTTAGTGCAAAGACAAGATATTTCAAAACTTCAAAAATTAAATATTAAAAATGCACATTAGTAACTAACAGTATTAAAATGTAAATAAGATTTTTACAGTGGAACTTTGATAAATAATTCTATCAAGATTAACTGAAAAAAAGTCTGAAAATTTGTTGCCTATTTTTACATTTACAACTTCTGTAAGTCCCCAAAATACATTCTATAGTTCTACTCTGTTATTTTTCTGTAGTCAACTTTCTGAGGAGTTAACAATTTATGAGGCAACAACCAAGGATTGAAAAATATTTTTCAAACTAGGAAGTTAAAAGTGAACAACAAAATCGCTTGGGAGATATAAGCAATAGCAATAATAATCTGAAGTGCTTACACTTTCTGTAAGACCTTAGTATTCCAAGCTGCTCCATTAGTAAGAACTTTTTCGTAAAACTATCAGGTCCACAGAAGTGCCGAGATAAGTGATTATAACTCAGAGTTCTGTATGAGAACTGTTCAATTTTTTCTTCTCCAATTTATGAAATGCTGAAAAATCCAAAACTAAACCACTTTATTATGGATGTTATAGTTCATTTCATTCTTCTATTACTTTTGGGGGAAGCCATTTACCAGAATGCCTTACTCTAGATCACAGAATCACAGAATGGCAAGGGTTGGAAGGGACCTTGGGAGATCATCTAGTCCAACCCTCCTGCTAAAGCAGGTTCACCTAGAGCATGTTTACTTTCCCATTTTCTCTGTTCATCAGCTCAGCAACTGAAGCCAAATCTCTGCCCACCCTGAAGCAGAGGAATAGCAGCTCCAGTAGAACTAGGTCTCCATCCATGTACAAGGGTACCTCACAGCAAGCTGAAGGGAGGATTATGGGCTATGCAAGTCTGAGCCATAATGTGCCTTTATTCTTAAATTGGCCTAATTACATTTTCATTCACTTAGGCTATACTATTATTGCCTCTATCTAGAAAGATACAATCCATGTGATGTTTGCTTGGCTCCTTAAAAGTAATCTTTAAAATAAAAATTTGAAGTTAATTTTGTGAGAAGTTAATTTTTTTCATTTCTTTTTCAGGGTGATGAAGAAGCAAGTCTTGGATTACCTATAAGCCCCTTCATGGATCGTTCTTCTCCACAACTTGCAAAACTGCAAGAATCATTCATCACTCACATAGTTGGCCCCCTTTGTAATTCCTATAATGCAGCTGGGTTGCTTCCAGGGCAGTGGGTTGATGAAGAGGAGGAGGATGCAGAAAGTACTGAAGATGATGATGGAGCGCAGTTAGAGAGTGATGATGAAGAAATGGAAGATGATCTTATTTTAAGTAAGTGTCTGTATTTCCGTTGGCACATATGGTTAATAGATTCAGACATAGCAATGATGGTTGAAATTGTACAGTACAAATATTGTAGATTTTGTGATTATGCTGCTTCATAAACTTTACTCTTTTAATAAAATTCTTGTTAATACCAGGAGACGTGCAACTTGAAACAGAAACTCATTGTTATCCTTTGTCATGTCACTATTTAAGTATTCTGAATAAGTATCCATGGGTTTTGCTCAAATTTACATCTCTGTTACAACATGCCATTGGTTTTGTATGTGTAAAATACAATTACTTTGAATCTCAAACAATTAAATATGCTTATAATTTTACAGAAGCTCAAAGAAAAAAAGGTAGACGAATATTTTGCCAGCTAATACACCATCTCAGTGAAAATCACAAAATATGGAAGAAAGTGATTGAAGAAGAAGAAAAAAATAAAGGTGAAGGAGCTAAACTGCTGACTGAGATCTCATCTTTACCTCAAGCAGATGAAATTCAGGTTATTGAGGAAGCTGATGAAGAAGACGAGCGACAACTAGGAGAAGACAAGACATGCTAAGAAAACTTCAGTGGTGTCCAGTATGATGATAGCCTATTATTTTTTCACTGTGCTGACTTTAGCTGGACACAGTTCACCTAAAATTGAAAGGCCTTAATACTGTGAGAGGATTCTTTCTACTCTAGTGGAATCCCACTCCTATGCACTTTCGCCACACAGAATATGAAACTTTATTCAAAGATTGAATATTGTATACCCTGATGCAAAGTTCTTTATGCCTTAGTTGGTATAAAATATCCTGATATAATGCTGCCTTGCTGAATATGGAACTCTTATTTTCCCTGAGGTACCTGCAATTTTTAAAAACATTCAGTGACTTCAGTTACCAAAGTGGCAAGAACTTTTTGCTAATAAGGAAATGTGGGATGAATCCTAACATTGTCTTGAGTTGTTTATTTCATGTTGGGTTTGAACATGAATAAGAAAAAGTCTGTGCCTACATGAAAACTATGTTACCGTTGCAGTGCAAGCCTGTTGTGGGGTGTCTACTTAGTGCAGTAGTGTGCTTAATGTAGTCATCTCAGAGCAACTGTTCAAAGACTGTGACATAAATGCTGAATTCTGATATTTGTGGTTTAAAAAAGAAAAAAAATCCAGGTGCATCTATTTCTGATGCTTTTTATTATTGTGCATAATCTGATGTTTTATTTTTGCAGAAAATATTCACGTTTGCAGTGAGTGTTCATGATAATTCATTGAATACAAGGCCATTATTATCTGTTGCCTTGCTGTTTTGTGGTAGAACATTAAAAACCTGTTCAGCTACTTAAATTATTAATGAACTTTATTCTTTTAGTCATAGTGCTATATTTCTTGCCCTTACTCAGGTTCCTGTTTAAAAACAAGTCAACCACATCATAGATTTTTATCTTGCACCGATTTCTGGTATTAAATTTTAAGGAAATAAGATCATATTTCATTTATTCTTTGTATGTAAAACTTTAGGAGAATTAAAGTTGGGTTTTTTGGTAAAAAAGACACAAACTACTCTTTCAAAATGGCTAGTGTATTTTAATGTGCACCACATCTTTTCTCCCATCACAGACATAGCTTACATTGCTTTCAAGTTTGATGTACATCCTGAAATATACATATGGAAAGCAGAACATGAAAACTTCATGTAAAGCCTAATAGTAAGATAAACATCACTGTACTATATTACATTTTAGATTCTTGAGTTTTTAAATAAGAAATTTAGACATACCACACAAATGTATTTTTAGGAACACTGCCATTGTAGGTCTAACTTAAAAAAAAAAAAGAAGCATAAATTAGGCTACAAGTATGTAAGCAAGCCACAAATAAAGCTAGTTTTAAAAGTGCACCTTTTAGTACTAAATATTTATATGCTGTGCAGTTGAATTGAACAAAAGTAAATGCACGTGTGTGCAAGTTGCTAAATGTACCTTAGCATATTTGTGTTTACATTTACATCAGCTGACTTGAAAAAAAGGTAACATTCCTAAGATAACCTTGTGTAAATTGTATTGCACTATTTTACACAAACAAATTTTTATTCTGCTCTTCGATTGGCCAGTTTAAATAACTGAAAGGAATTACTTTTTTTTATTTTTCACTAATAAGCTTTTTGTTGATCCATTTAGAAGACCACTGAGACGTGCTTTTGCTATTTTATATATTCAGTGCCAAATCCCCCTTTGCTGCCATTACTACTATCACTGCATTTTTTGTAACACAAGCAGTGTTAAAACCAGATATTTTTGTCATTAATAAAATGTTGCACTATTGAAGCTGGCACTTACGGATCATTCACTTGTATTTTACATTTGTTGTTCGTATATTTTCCTAACAGATAATTTGAAGACTACAGAAATTATGCTTGTTTCAGTATGCTGTATTCTCAGCATTTTGTGTTTAGCCTATGTGTTTGTACATAAAAAAAAAATCATTTTAATACTGTTTAGTTTCACTTTGCTTTGACTGAAAAAAAGATGCAAATGGCTTGTCTAAAGTTACTGTTCCCATTTAGTTTCCTTTTTAAAAAATAGTATTAAAAACTAATATAAAGAGAGAATAAGAAGGTTAAAATAACATTTTATCTTTTACTAAAGCATTGGCAGCATTTATATCTGGTGACAACTTTGCCAGCAACTCTCTTATCTCAGGTTTCCCTTAAACTCTTTAGAAATACTGCAGCAATTTTAAAATTCAGAAATGAGTAGCAAACCTCAGTGTTTAATAAACTATAATGCTAATATGTATTTCCAATTAGACATTTTCAAGTTACAATAGAGGATACAATCAAGGATATGTTTGATTATGAATGTATTCAAAATCCACCTTAAAATGTCTGTTATTTATGTATGCATAACATGTGACAATTGTTACTCTAAGAGCAAGGGAAAAAGAATGTACAAATGTCATCAAAGGTTGGTTCAGGGCATGTTTGCAGAATGGATGTAACTGTAACTGAAGGTGTCTTAATCTTTCAAAAACAGTAATGGAGGGCCATCTGAACGTTGTTTGAGCTGTTGTCAACAATAATATATCTCCATATAGGGCATATCACTCTTATTCTGGTAGCAACTCACTGAGAAATTACAACCAATTTAAATCTGTGATCACACTTCAATTCACAGCTACAAAGGGATGCCAAGGAGCACAGAAAAGCACACAAAAGAACACACTTAAATACGTTCTAAAGCAATGCTCACCACTTTTTTTTGTGTTAAGAGGTAGGCCAAATTAGCCTACGCTGAAGTTTATGCTGCTACAGTAGAAATACTGTTTATGGATAATATTCTCAGGTTTAAGTAAAGTCTTCAGCCCCTTTTCTATCAAGAGTCTCCCATCTCCTCATTGCCTTCTTTTACAATTTATGTTGGATTACTTGCTCCTATGCATACAGTGCATACAGAACTAGACTACTAAGTTCTCCATAAGGACCCAATTCCCTCCGTGCCTCTGGAGACTTCTGGATGTTATGGTGGTGCTAAACCAGTCAAAAAGAACTACTTGGATCCTCTTCCCGTGAGTTCTTCCTCCATGACAAAGTTAGATGGCGATAAGATTCAAAATGAAAGGACTGGTGTGACGTTACTTAAGGTAAGTCCAAATTAACGAAGTTTGTGCAAGACCTTATTTGCTCTGCATAGAACCATTTCTTCTCTGTACTTCTTCCATTCAATTTTAACCACAACCAGTGGCAGGTGAATCAACAAAAGGAGTTCAAGAGCTCACTTTTAGCTTTGGTGCTTCCTCCTGGGCAGGCATAGTTGAGGCTAGGCTTCTGGTTCCTCTAAAAGTATACACAGAATTTGAGGTAATCCAGTGTGTGGTGCTAACATTCACAGGGCGATACTTTCTCTTTTGTCCAGAAAATGTTTGAGAAGGTGTGAGAGGTGTAGAATTGGAAGTATCTTGTACACTGGTGAGTGTGAGATCAGGAATCCCAGTCTGTGAGACATGTTTTTGGAGTAAAAGGATGGAATTAGCTTGGGTGATGAGAATTAGAAAGGAGACGTAAGAATGGCACACACACACATAAAAGACAGAAGAGAGACACTGTTTGTTTCAAGCCAGTTCATTGTCTTCAAAAGAATACGGAAACGGTATGTTTGTTAAGTCAGAATATCTGGATTGTTAGAAATAAAATTGTTTAAGAAATGAAAATTAAATTATACTACTAATAATGGTACAATTATCATAACTTGTGATGCAAGTTTAAGAAAATTGATTTTTTCTGTGGCCAATAAAGATTAGATGACAGAAAATAAATATGTAAAGTTGATAAAATGAGGTACAAAAAGTATGATCAAGGCAGTGTTTTATTTTGCTTTTTTTCCTTCAGCTTTCCTCAGAATTGTGTTTCTGGACAACGTGCTTCTTCATGTGTGTGTTAAGGCAAATGAGGTAATGAATTGCTTTCATTTTTGCAATGAAGCATTTTCCTTTTGGTATTTTCAGAAGTAAGCCTTTAACTTGCTATAAGAATCATACTGCAGATTCTCAGAGGTAAAGCTAGCAAAAGAATGCAACTGTTAACTGGACTCTAGCTGATCTTAATTTAATAGGACCATAAGCATTAGTACTTCTGTCCTCTGCTAAATGAGAAAGAATAACATACTCTTTTTCAGAGTAAAGAAAGCTTATGGACTAAGCTGACATAGGATAAACATTTCAGTGCACTTGAGTTTCTAGTTGGCAGTGACCCTCCCGGCATAGCATACATCCCCCACACCCTTATGAATCCAGCTAATAGATACATAACTCTCAAGTGAGCAATCTGTTCCAATGGTTTTGTTGTCCATTTGTTACTCTAATTTCTTTAAGACTTTTCTGGCTTAGACTTGAAATAAGACTTCTGGTTAGTCTCATTTCTGTTATCTGCAATACTCTAAAAAAAAAAAAAAAAAGTAGAGTACTAGCAATTAGTTGTTTTGTTAATAATAGAATTAAGCTATAGAAAGTGGTTCCAGTAAAGAAGAAACTGTTTTCCTTTGGTATTGAGATTGAAACATCTGTCTAGAAATTGGCTGACTTTAAATGCTATTGTTTTGATAGAGTCAGGATGCTGAATAAAGGATGCCTAATGTATTTAAGTGACTGACACTTATTTGTTTCTATGTGCCACTACAAACACCCTTTAAAAAGGGCACAACACAATCAGAAATGTTTGACCGGAAGTTTTCTTTTGGAATCTGTACACTGTGAGTCATCTTTAGATTTCTGTACTTCAAGAGATCACAGGTGATAGCAACAGTGTCTCTGATTGATAGGTTCTACCATGCAGGCTCTATTACCTGGCAGAATGTTACCGTCTGTGAAATCTAAGTAAACAGAGTAAAAATCTTACACAGAGGAGAAGCCTTCTTCCCTCTGGTTTATCTGTGAGGTTTCAGAAAAACAGAAATGTGTAACATTAAACCAATAGAGCCTTTAAATAATGATGAGAGAGCATAGTGTTTAAATTATTCCTACCATTCACCTTGTGATTTGTCCATGTTCTAAATATCTTGCCAAAAAACAGGTGATGAGTCACTTCTGACTCATCTCTCCAGATCAGCAGAACCCTGTGCACCTTGAATGAAATCAAAGTATTTTAATTTTACTTGCATATTAAAACAAAGACTAATGCTTAGCTTAAAATGTATTATACCAAAAACCCAAAGGGTAAGCTTGACATTACTTATTGCATGTGGGGAGCAGACCGCACACTTTGTCACCTGTGCCAGTTAGATGTAAAAACTTGTTCCTATATGCAGTCATTCAAATGGACTTAGTGTACCTCTCTTTCTTTTATCTTGACATTAATCCTACTAGAATTTATTCATCTCTGTAGTATTGCCAATTTATCTGACTCATATATTAACTAAGCTTTCTCTAAGTCAAAGAAGTGAATGAAGGAGCCCTCCTGTTTATCTTTGAGAATAGGTTTGTAATAATTTTGTTCTGTTCATCATAAATAAGGCATTACCAAAATTTCCGATGTCACACCCTGGGAAAAATATGTGTCCATTAGACAGATTGCAGAATTCCAGTACAGACCAGTGAGACTGACCAGAAGTATGGAAGACTGGACTTGATGATCTTAAAGGTCTTTTACAATCTAAAAGATTCCATGATTCTAAGACATGGCCTAAGGAGAATGAGAAAGATAACATTAATTCAAGAGATTTTTCTAAGTCTAGAGAAAGTGAAACTTAAGTGAGATATTCTGAGGTTTTAAATACTTAATAAGGCTGCTTCAAAGAGCAAACTAATGGGAATAATGCTTTCAGTGTTCACAGTGTTTAGGACGAGAAGCTTTAGACTGCAGGAAGGAAGATTCAGGCTCAACATGGCTAATTGTCTAAGGATTGAGAGGGCTGTGACTCACGGAAATAGATTTCCTTGGAGTATTAAGGAAGTCTTTGAAAATAAAAAGAAAAAAAAGACTGAAAAACAGCTTTCAGAAAAACGTACTACTGGGTCAGATGAGTGAACTGCATAACTTACTGAGATCCTTTCTGGACCTATTTTTTAAATACTAGGACTAGAGGTCTGATATGGATCACTTTGAATACCAATAAGAAAATATGCAGAATGATAAAAAATAGTCAAATAACAACATTCAAACAACAGGAATGGGATGTGTCAACTGAATCTCTTTTTCAGTGAATATTACAAACTTTTCATTTACTGAGCATTTAACCGGTAATGCATCTCCCACCAGAAATAGTCTTTTTATTTGTTGAGGGAGTGACCTAGAATCCTTTTGAAAGAACAGAGGTTTGAAGCTCAGCCAGAGTTAAGATTCTGTCTAGTTGTCAGCTTATGAATAAATGGAAATGCAGTAGCCAAAATGTTTTAAAAAAATATGACTGTCTAGAGTTAGTTTGCTAAAGCTTATTCTATTTTAAATATTTGTCAAGCTATATGGTCCTCTCTAGATCTTAAGAAAGTGCATACTTAAGACATTGGGAGGTGTTGGGTAATTTTGAAGGTGATGTAATTCATATACTTACAAAGAGGATTAGTTTAAGCAAGTGGGGACTTTTAGATAAATTTTAGCCCTTAGCACTGAGTTGTATTGCAATCAACAATTAATTATTCTTACAGTCTCTTTTCAAATATATAATCACGACATTCATTATGACATGATGAATTTGAATATTCAGTAGACTATATCTACAATTTGTGATGAAGTAAATGCAATATTAAAGTATATTGCATTTCCCTCTATACTGTGACAGTTTAGACTGTACATTCTTTGAGAGAAATAGTATGTCTTTATACAATATAAAATACAAGATCTGAAGATGCCTTGAAGGGGCTTTAAAAAACAACTTTTATATTTCCAAAAAAGAGCAATTAAATTAACTTTCTGACCTATACAGGCACAAGAAGGGTCATAAGTATCTATGTTTTTCTTTGAAAAATTAGGCTTATAAAATTTAGCTGTGGCGCATGTTCATCAGCATTATTATTTTAACTCAGCTTATTGTGCAAGTTGAAGAGAACCAAAAGGGCATTTGGGCTCCTTAAACAGGGATGCGTGTGGAGAAAGGAAACTTAATTACCTGAGAATAACTGGAATTCTTTAAGATGTTTTATCCATAGTGATTCTATTACCTAACTTTCATTCCTTATTGGTTATGAAAACCTACCTGGATTACTTGTATTAGTGAAGGACCTGAACAACAATTAAGCCATCCTTTATTCCCTCGTTTTAGTGAGGGCATAGGAGTGTCCATGGGGCATACAGCGTGAACCCTGTCATCTAGATTCTAATGGTGACACTAATGTGGTTAAGAATCCTAACAAAATAAATGTAATGTGAAAAGCTCATTTTTTTAATATGTAATATTCTTTTCATGCTTCTGATTCATAGGTGATGCAAATTAAAAATATTTCTTTTAAGATGCTTAGTACGAGCATAGAAAAGGAAGCCAGCACTTGAAAACAGCAAGGGAATAAATAGTAAGTTTATTCTGTTTTCTGGTATATTACTGTAGGCTGGTATATATCACATGTGAAATTTTAGGCAAGCAGCCATCTGCTGCGGTAATAGTAAACTATTGGATTAGATTGCACATTCCTGATATGCTCCATTATTTTAATGGATTTAATCTATTTGGAATGTTACTTATTCAGAAGAATGTAACAAACGTAATGTCTCCCGAAGTCTGGCAGTCTTCCTATGAAATGACCACTCTGAGTATGGGTTCTGCCTAATTCTAATCACATCGACATCAAGATAGTTGACAGCCTTCAAAAATATCTAAAGGGATAATCTAGAAATGGAAGAATCTGCTGATCCTCAAATTGTATTGTATGAAAGGACAGAACAAGGCATAATATTTCCAGAACAGAAGTTTAATTTGATCTTGATTAGACAAGGGGTTTGAATTATGAGGCCTAATGCCAAAAAACCACCTTAGATATCTAGCTGCTCTGAAAATGCATGTCTGTACCTTCACAGACCAATTTATACTGAGAGTTTACCTTTCAAAACCCTATTGAATAGTCCACTGTACTTGGCTGTGTTATCTTGTGTTTTCATCATTCCATCTATCTCACCCAAAGATAAATTCTGATCTGGCATCTTCACCATTATGATTCTTTTTTCCCTGTTTATCCTTAATCTTTATATTTTCTCATTCAGTGCATTGTGGCAAAATTTACATCATCTTATTTTCACCCCTTTTTCAGAGTGATTTGACTATCTTTTATTGTGTTCTTTCTGAAGTTGCTACTTTTCAGGTGAATGTGCTATCTTAACGACAACATAATCTGCCTCATCTACTCACTAGTGCTCGTACAAACCATTAGGCTCAATTAGGCTAAAAAATGTACAGGTTAATAGTTTATTTTCACTATTCAGACAGCCTCAATCAGAGTTAGATTCAGAATCTAATTGTGTAGCAGAACAACACACTAAATCAAGAAAAGGCCTGTTTGTTATGTGAGCTCAAGCTGCTTTAACATTTGAATAGCTAGAAGAGGTTTGGGTTTCAGAGAGAAGAGTAAATTTTATAAGCTGATGATTGAGACAGGAGGGACTACTGTAAACATGTAGTTTACTTTGCATGCTGAAGACAGTGCAAATTAGAATGAGAGCACAGAAGAAAGGTCTGATAATTGATTTTTAATTTTCTGTAACAATCCAGGAATAACTATCCTCACTGCTAGTTATATACCTGATTCTTTATCTATAGCTGTTCAAAGTATTCACCTGCTTCCTAGTTTAAAGATATTTCACCTTGACTCCTATTTATATACTTGTCTACTTACTGGAGAGCTCTTTTATCAACCTTTTGTTCTCTGTTTAGATTGCTGTAGACTGTAATCAAATCACTTAACTCACATGTTTGGTAAATGAAGGAAATTGTCTTGAAACTGTCACTAACCAGTATGTTCTACACTACATTTCTGTGGTGTATATACTGGAGACATGCTTGAGCCTCCAGCATAGCCAAAAACTTTCTAACAGTGCCAGTGTGTCACCAAGTCTGAAATAGTAAATCATTCTGAAATGGGAGCATATTAGCTTGGACATGGTGCTGACCTGATACGATCACACACTATTTGGTCAGCTCATAAATCAGTACAAGTACCTTGCAGCAAGCCGGAATATATAGCATAACCATATTCTTAGCCCTTTTTACAGCTTTATAGGAACACTACCAATTTTTTTAAAATGCTCCTTCATTTATAGACAACAGAACAGGACACAGTATTCAAGGAATGCTTGTGCCAGCACCAAATACATATATAGCTTCTGTATCTGTTAATAGTTGGACTCAGTGTTCTTAAAGGTCTTTTCCAACCTAAATGATTCTGCAATTCTATGATTCCTCACTCAATATTCAACACAAAATCTTTTGGCTGCACACTTAAAAGTTCATGTTTATCTAACAACCCACTGTGAATCCCAAGCTCTTTCAGAATTACAGCTTTTCAATGTAGATTTCCCTCATTCTATGCCTGTTTTCTGTGTCATTGGCTCATAGACATCTGAATTTATATTCAGACATGTTCAAAGAGGCCAGAGTCCAGAAGGAAGGACCTTCCTTCTATTGATATTGGATCTGGCCCACAGGAGGTCAAAAACATACTCTGTGAAATTAATAGATTGCAGTGTGAGTGTATGAAATGAATGTAAATCAACTGAATTCTTTTCAGAATTACAATTTATAACTTCTGCAACATTACTAGAAAATAGAGTGATCTTGTATTGGAAACTTACCTGCATGGTGCTGCTGCTTAAGGAGGGATCACCAGAACAAATGGAGAAAGATCCATGACTTCACCTCAAGCTCTGGTCAAGTCTAGTTATGGGCAAGGAACATTTGGAGAGAGATGCTGAATACCAGTGAATAGAGACTGTGCTAAATTGCTGCTGTGTCGAGTCAGTGCGCGTCAGATCATCCTGTGCAGGACTGTAATACTAGTTGTCAACACTGCCTACATTGTGGATGCAGAATTATTTTCCCACTAGGAGTACATCGACGTTTCCTTTGCAAGAGAACCTGGTGTAGAGGAAAGGCAGACATGCATGTCTGTTCAGCAGTTTTAGATTCAGCAAATACTCATGTCAGTAGGAAGAAGAAAGGCGAATGAGTCCATAAGCATGCAGAGTGGTTGTTAGGGGTAGGTTGGGTTAATAAGCGGAGTCACTGCGTTAGTGTGATGGCCATTATACAGCAGGTGCCAATTAGGCTTCTCTTCCCTTGCAGTCTAATCTATGCAGTTCTGCAAAAGCCAGTACATCTCTAATGCTAACCCCAGTATCTCACCTTGGCCATTACTAGGAGCTGATCTGATATCCTACCTAGACCCTTTGCTTCATCAATCCTCTTGTTGAACATGATCTGCAAAGAAGTGAGCTCACCTTAAGCATCTTCTTGTGAAGTCGCCTAGTTTGTCCTTGGCATGCTGAGTAGCTTTGGACATTTGGACCGGCCAGTAACGCATCATTTTGAATGACATGCCTGTTCTCTCAACATACACAGAAACCACATAGGGAGACTTCTGCCCCTGTGGTGACAGCTATCCTCAACAAAAACACCTGAAAATCTACGAGCTGTTGTCCAGCCACCAGCAGCCTAAAGATGGCATTGCCATGGATCTCCAGGGCTGTTAAAGCAAGGTCCCTCACCTAATGCCAGATCATGGTCCCGCATAACTTTTAAATTATGCTGGGTCTGCAGAGAGCATATTCACTTTGCTCTTTTTAAAGATTTCTGGGGCTCCTGAGCACTGCATTTCCCTTTACCCATAATACAGTGGCATATCCCCACGCCAGAAGGAACTGTTGATTCTGCCCAATGAAAAGGCAATTCTTGCAGATTCAGTTCATGCTTCCTTGCAGTGATACTCAAAGGGAGATCATGTCTTCCAGGCATATTTTAGCTCTTAAGTCACTACAGATTTAAACATGAGCAAGTTTTGCACCTTTCCAACCCCGATTCTGTACAGAATTAAAAATTACAACAATTCTATGACACACTTAACTTAAGGATGTAAGAAGCAGGCTCTTTGTAAATTCTGGTCTGAAATAGCCCTTTGGCTGCTACAGATACAGTGATTTATGGTAATTAGTCTGAAAAATTCTGTCAATTCAATCCAGAAATGTCATCAAAAGAACTGTAATTATTTTTCCAGCAAAAACACTCATGTTTCATAATTATTTGTAAATAATTGCAAAAATTAGAACACATTGTCCTTTTGCTTTCAATCTAGTCTTTTCTTCCCTATTTATATTTTTTCTCTTCATTTAACTTTCATTTTCCAGATGATATGACCAATCCTCTGGAGTTACTAGTTCCCAGTTAAATCATTACACACTTGACAGTGTGCACATGACATTAAGATACATGCTATATTATAAATACCAGCTATAGTGTTCTTCTCCCCTGTTTCTATTTTATCATTCCCTTATTAAGAGAAATTGAGATTTAAGACATGGGAGGTTGTTCACTGAGAAAAGACACAGCTATCTCCTAGCATATAGTCTGAGTTAGCTGAACTATTTCTAGTACATACTGGGAAACTAACAAAGAAGTATTATTATGATCCTCTAGGTCTTTCACAACATATTCAGGATACATGTAAAGAATAATCATGATAAATTCAAACTATTTACTTTCAGAGAAGCAGTAATGTTTCTTGAACTTTTATGAAATCTCACTTTGTACAGTTAATTTCTGAAGGCATAAATTAACGAACTTCCTGCATTTATTAGGTTTGCACTAAGCTTACGTTCACCAGTATCACAGAGACTAGTGGAAGTTCAGGAAATTAAGTGCTAAAGATTTTCTTTGGCATTCTTTCAGTGTCACATGTGACATGCTTATAGGGTTCCCTTTTCAGTTTCTGGTGATGCTGGCATGGCCAAGGTTAACCCAAAAACTTAAGTTTAAGGATAGAGTTTTAGAAAGGAGGACTTAAGATACTACGGTGGTACTGGCTGCAGCTCTTGTATCAGTGTTAAGAAGGGAATCCCCTGCTGGATAGCCAGATGCATTGCCCTGGCCTTGGACTTGTCTGGGAGTAGATACAGGAATAGACTGTGTCTGAGAAATAGGGCAGAAAGCACCCATTCTCATGGTACAGAAATGGCATGAAAGAGCAAAGGCACAGAACCACTTCTAGAGTTTCTGGTTTAAGGCAAGTATACAAAACCAGAGCCAAGATGGAGAAAACAGATGTAGAAGCAGTATACTGCAGCTCATAATCTTCCTACTGGTATTACACTGTAGTTGGCTGTGGAGACCTTTGAATGGGATATAGTAAACTAATACAACGTTGAGTTGACTATATTCTCCTCCAATTAGCAGAATTTCTGTGATTATACTCGCAGAAGACAACTAGTTATTGCTCAAGGAGAATAAGTAAAGAATGTAAAATCAAGTCTTAATCCTAAAATTCCTATTCCTTAGGGAAGACTGCTGAATCTAGCCTGCATTTACAAATACTGAACAAGACCGAAAAATAGTGCAAAGAACGTTGCAATAATCTCCCAGGAAGAGAAAAAAACTGAAGTGGATTTTTACCTGGACAAATTAGAAAAAAGAATGATTCAAAACTCTACAGGGATTGAGAGCAGCAAAGGCAAACTGAATGTGCATTTTTAGGTATGTTTACAGCAAAAAAGTCCTTCACTCCCTTTGGGAATGGCAGTGGAGTTACAGAGAAGGTACATGAAAGTTTCTTCTTGTGGTTGTGATACACCTGTATGTGGAAACAGTGTCTCCAGTTCTAAACTATCATAATGAATTCAAAGAGCTAACTCAGCAGAAGACAAAATTAGACAACTATAAATACTGGAGCGAATAAGACTTAGGAAAATGGTGAAACCAACAGTGCAATAAATGGCATTAATAAACAGAAACGGAGAGGTTACAACTTAAATTTTGAGAAATCTTTCCATCCGTATCTGGACACCTTGTTTTAATCCAAAACATAAGGACATTTAAAGCCAGGTAGGAAAAACTTCTGCAAAATAGGAACAAGCTTACCTCGATGCATCACTTACTTAATGTCTTTTTTTCATCCTTAAATTCTACAACCAGGAAGAGATATACTGGTTAACATATCAGCCTTTAATCCCAAAACAATGTTAAATAGCAGCCAGCTATGTTAGAAATTTCAGCTGTAGAAAACTCTTACCAGGAAATTCTGAACATCTGGCTGGCTACTGATGTTCATTACTAATCAGTCTTGATACAATGGAGAAATTCGAGAGGACTGGAAAAAAATGTTATTATGCCAGTATTTCAAATTATTAAATTGGTTCATTAGCATAATCCTAAATCAGAGGGAAAAGGATGGAAAAGTTGATACAGAATGAAACATGTAACTAATACTGATACGGATTTATAGAAAAGACAGTTTGTCAAATGTATTTGATTGCTTAAATGAGACCGTAAGTTGGCAGATAATGGTAAAAGTTTGAATTGATATTCTGAGGCTTTTATAAGGCATTTTGATTTAGAAACCAGAATGACATATAATCAATATGGTTCTCATTAAATGGATTAAAGACTAGCCAGGAGTTAGATCTCAAAATACCTCAGCAAAAGGAAATTATCACTGGCCAGCTGCATTTTGAGCGTAGCTCCCCCCCCCCCCCCCGATAAGAACTGGTTCTTGATTTTTTTTTAATCCTCCACCAACTTCAGTTAGGATTATTTGACTCATATTTTAACCAAAAGATGTCCTAGAGTTCTTGCAACCCAGAAGGCAAGTCTAGACACTGACAAAACTCTGGCTGTCTGATCTAAGAGCGCAGGGTGGGATATAGGAAGAATTACCATCAGGCCAGAACTGTAGCACTGAACTCTTCTGTTTGGTATTACTTCATACTGAAGGCACCTAAATTTGTTAGATTCCACAATTTTTACTTGAGCATTTCACAAGCACCCAACACCTACTTATGCAGGTACCTAGAAAAGCCTCAGTCTTGACTCCTAAGCCCCGCTGTTTGCCAATATCTTAGGAGAGGCTGATTCGCAGCTTTCATGGTGTGCCCAATGCACAGCACTCGGGCTTACCTCCTTCCTCTCCTTTTTTCATCTTAAATCTTCTGCAAGGACCTCTTCAGAGCACCAGGAACATGTGTTTGAGATGCTCTCTGTGGGACATGTGGGTTTGACTGCCCTCAGTCATTCATTCATTTAATCTGGACCTGCTGCATCTTGAGGCAATAGGCTATGATAGAAGTGGACTGTTACTAGCTCTGTTTGATCCTTCTCTGTTGCTGTTTCAAAAGAAAGGAAATATTTCCACTCAGTATAAGCAGAAAAACATCAGGTCAGCAGAAAAACACCAATTCCTGCCTTTGAACTTTCCCGCAGCTCCAAGTTGAAGCATAAGCTCTACAAAGAGCAAGGTCTAATACTCAGCCCTGTCCTTAAATAGCCGCTTGCTCAGTGTGTGTTTTGTTCTGAACTCTGTTCTGAAGCCCTACTTCTCCCCACACGGTGGGGATTGAACATACCATATTTAGACTATCAGGTTCTCCTGTGGGGCCTGCACGTGTAAATCTTTATTTACCAGTAACCGTAAGCAACGACTGTCAAAAATAAAAAATGAAGCTGGCAGAACTCAAGAGTAGCTGTCATGCCTAAAACTTGTGCTTAAAATCCATTTAAAATCTGTTTCTCCCCACCCTATTCCACTCCCCCTCCCCAGAAGGTCTCTCTTCTGGTTGGATTAATGAGCAGCTTATTTTCTTGATCTGCAGTATATTCTTGATTTGCGGTATAGTTGCATGTGATGCTGGTAACACAAGCACTGTTTTTCCCAGACTACTTAGGCAGAGATTAATCATTGCATAATGCTTTGTATTGGGAGGCAATGGAGGAAATGTGTCTGGAAGTGCAATAAACTGGTAAAAAAGATTGCTCTCATTGTCAGGAGTGGCAATATGGCAATAACTGAACACTGTATATGTTACTAAATGAGAAGCAAGCCATAAAAGGTCTTAAAAGTGAATTCACAGAGTTATCTGATTCACTAGGAAATTTTTACCAACTGGGAAGGTAGGGCAAGGAGAAGGAAGGATTAAAATGCTTTAATAGACAATTTGTTTGTCAAGGCTGGAAAAGATAGTTTATTCTGAGTTATAGAAATTTAAATAGATACCTTTAAAACTTTTTTAGCTATGTAAATTTAATGGAAAATTATGAAGAACAACTTAGCTGGAGTAACGTAAATGAGACTTCCACGGATGAAACAGAGTATAAAGATTTTGAGCCATATTCTCCACACTTGTAAAAATATCCTCTCAAAGTAAAATAGCTTGCTAAGTAATTAAATATTTAAAAGCTGAATCAGAAGTTAGATTCAAACCAGACTTCTGGAGTGAAAGCATCAACTTTAAACACAGGATGTGTTTCACATTTTCGGTTGAGGGTTTTTTTTGTGAAAACCGAGTAGAAAGAAATTATTAACTTGTGCCCAAATAGTCAGAATTTATCTGCAAGTCCTTAAGTTTTTTGTTCTTCTGACATGAACACATTTAGGAATAGATGGCAATATGGATCCTCAGCTGCAGCTTGGAGCATTGTGCCCCACCTGACAACGTAGACCCTTCTCTTCACCGTCTTTCCGCACAGATGAGGTACGGCTGTGGTTGTAACGTCATGCCTAATCTTGGTTTGAGATTTGGAATCACACCGTGAGGAAAAGACAGGTGAAATCGTTGTAGTAATGAAGTGAAAAACAAAAACATTTCCATTCGAGCTAGTTGTTCTCCAAGACAATGTCTTCTTCCTGGATTGAAAAGAAGGTTTTGGAAAGACTTAAAATGTGTCCAATTACATTTTCACTCTTATGAATAAGACTGGTCATTTCTGTGTTCTAAGAGGAGCTGTGTGAACTTGGTGGTAGTATTCTGTAAGAGAGGATAGGTGATAATTTACAGCAAGAAACAGATTTTAGAGTATTTGTTCCTCTTACTACACAAATGCCATTGTAAGTAATTCCGTCAAATTTATTTAGATAAGCTATTAGCTACTTTACCTTGTCTTGAAGGACCAATCTAGACAGAAAATGTTTTAAAAAAAAGTGATAATGTGAATTTCAGCCTTTGTCCCTTACTATTTTCTTAATTACATTTACTGCCAGTTATTATTAGCTGGCAATTATTATAACTTGGTAAATAAAAAGATATGAAACAGATCTGGATAATGCCTTTAGATATTAGTTCCCATTCCGTGTATGACTAGTTACAGGGAGTAAACGTGGTTGTGGAAGATACAGATGAATGGATAACAACATCTGGAACTGGTAAGGTCAAACAGGCAAAAAGACACATAATAGAATACACACTAAAGGTGGACTTCATCAAATCTAACTTTGGCCATTTAGATGTTGTGCATCTATTCCAAGGGAATTGTCTTGCCTTGTCTCCTATTTTTTGGAGAAAGAATATCCCAGATAAGGAAACTAAGTCACCCTCTACACAAAGATAGGTCTTTCTATGGACTGCAGAGGTAGCCCTGGCAGTTAACTTACATGGAACACCTAATATTGTAGGTTGATAATCATATGTAAGGTAAATTATCCACTTTTATAGGCATCAAAAGACAAATCCATAATGATTTAGGGCTGCCAGAGTATTTCCTCAGAACAGAATGCAGTGCTACACGCTGACCCCCAAGCTAGTTCTGAAGAAAATCTGCAATTTCTGGTGCTGATCTAAGTGCTGCAATTTGAAAACATACACAATAACTTTAGCAGCAAATGACTATTAATTGTGAAACAAATAACACTTATGTCCTGCAATGATATAAAATGTATAGACTCCTCAGATAAGAAGATACTGTGCTTTTTTGTTAGCTTATATCTGTGAGCTCATCCGTATAAAATGCCTGATGCTAAAATGCATTATGTCCAGAATGCATTATATTGAGTATCTTCAAAGTAACTGTTTCACCAGAACTGTAGGCATTTTATATCATTCTGTCCATTCCTGATTTATTGCCATCACTTATATGTTATACATCTCTAGATTTATGAAAAGAACAGTGGAAGGAATCACTCTTACCTAGTGAAAAAGGAATAAATGCATCTTTCTTGACAAACTGCCCGCTGCTGTCCAAAAATCTCTCAGGAAAAAACACCTCTGGGTTGCTCCAGTATTTTTCATCAAAATGAACGGAGTAGAGGTTTGTAATGACTGTAGTGCCTTCGGGAATAGAGTAACCACGCACAACAGTATCTTTGGAAGTTGCGTGAAAAATACCTAGTGGAACTATATTACAGAATCTTAGAACTTCATGTAGAACAGCCTCAGTGTACGGCATTTTGCATTTCTCTTCTAAGGCAGGCATTTTGTTTGGGCCGATGACTAGATCAATTTCTTTTTGAACTTGCCCTGTTAGGAACAGGAATAAAAGCTGGTGTTTACTGTGTAATAAGTCTTTATTTTTTAATTTAAGCTTTAAAATATGTACTGTTAAAAGTATATCTGAAACATGAAATATTTTACATAAAATATAGTAGCTTAGAAGCTTGTAAATTTAGACTCTTTATTCCTTATCCTGCTCGTAGGAATTCTTACTAGCATATATACCAGTAATCTTAATTTCTGAAGTAACTATGCTCAGTAAAATTGTGTTTTAACATACTTTTCTAAGCTTGTGTATATTTTTATTTCTGGAGCTCTTCAAAACTAAAGAAACAAGCAAAAGACTGCAAAGATAAAGTACGTTAAATACTTGAGTGAACACAGAGAGCACTGGAATTAGCCACTTGAACTTTCCCTTGTCTATTCTGCTATGATTCTTTAGAATCGTCACAGTGTAAAATCATTCACCGTCAAACTGAAAATATCTGATACAACACAGTGAGAGTTAAGAGCAACAGGAGTCTGAATTTAACCGAGAGGGAACAAATTCAATCACTGTTTTTTTGAAGCTAGTTTTAAAATTAAGTTCACAGTTTATTTAAGTAATCTCAAAGGCATTCAAAATGCCTCTTCTTTTTCCTGATTACACTTTCTTTGTTGAAACCGCCAAACAGCTCCTAACTAAAACAAAGTTGGACCTTTACAGTTCCTGTGGAACCAATAATGAAAACCTGGGCAATGGCAGAAAAATTCTACCAGTATCACCAGGTTTTTCAACGTGAAGTGACAAAGTTTCACATCAAAAAAAAAGAGGCAGAAAGCAGCTGAGTGAAAGTACGTTCTGTGATGTAGTAGTGTATCGGTGTATATTGTAATATTTGGACAGAGAAAGTCTAAATAAATGAAAAGGTAACAGTAATTTTTATATTTATCCAGATGAACTGATTTTGATTCCAAATCCAGAAACTCATTATCAAGCAAGATCTGAGATCAGAAGATTATTTTAGGTGAGTGGATCTCTATAAAATCAGCCAATGCATAGGAGGGACAAAACTACAAAGTTTTCTTATCTTTACTGAAAAACAGTACCTTGGTCAGACCTTAACAGAGAAGGAATAAGGATGTTCTTGGTTTAAGATATGAATATTGTTTGTGAGCCAGGACAGACTGACCAGAAACTTTCATTTGAGTGGATCTTTTTGCATTTGGGCTTTTTATATAACGTAAAGCATGAATACATTCTATTGACTAACTAAGGCACTTAATATATTTTTAACTAAAATATGGACAAGGTATATATGCATCCTAAAACTTAATTACCTATAAAATCAGATTATACTTTTTTCATTTTATTAAATGTTTTTCTTTTTTGGTAGATTTTTTTATTGTACTACGTAAAGCACATAGATGAACTAGTGGAACTCAGAAGCGTAAAAGCAACATTTAATTTTTTTAAACCCATTTATTTTAAATCGTCTGAAATGTGCTGACTGGCTAAAACCAGCAATTGCAGTTTTAAGCTTCCACAAAAAAATATTAGCTTAATTTAGTGAGCTGAAGCTACATATTTCTCTTAAGTATGTCCCTCAGTTTTTAAAATTAACAACTCATATCCTGCTAGATCCTAGGCTAGAAGAAAGTTCGGCTATTTTCTAATCTTTAACCAGTTTCTTTATGTTCAATTAATTAATCAACTAACTAAAATAGTTAAGTAAATGAAAATAAGAAAATATGTAAGAGGTTATGGCTCTCAGGAGATATTCGAGTGAACTTTGGTTCTACTTCCTTAGCCAGGTATTTTAACCAACTCAGTGAATATGGGACTTAAAATAATGATAATAGAAGCAACAAAAGAGCTTTGGCATCAACTTTTTTATTTAATCTGAATGATTTTCACTGTCTATTCATGTTAGGCCTTGACGCACATTATCATCATATTTTAATTTTTTTTTCAAGTAAAGCTGTATTTACCTTAAACGTACACATAAAATTTGATCTCCAATTTTAAAACAATAATTGCTTTTTGTCCACCCAATTTAAACTAAAAATTGCATTTGCTTATTATTTGTTAACTACATAGATTAGTACATCTGCCAATCAATATTATGCATCACAACACTAAGCTTAAATATATCAGAAAGACTTTAGTAAAAATATTAAAGCTTCATAAAAATGTCTTCACAAAATAATATGCTAAAATTTTATCATCATACTTGACTTTTGATACCCTCTTCATCTGCATATAAAATAAGCTTTTCACATCTTTCTGTAGTATATTTGGTACATGATACAATAGAATAATATACACAAACCTTCCTTTTTGGTTATGACTATGGATCACTGCACCACTTTGAAAAAGCATTTTAAATTTGCAATAGGGAAGTATATCAGTTCCTCAAAATGTCAAATTCTTACCTTGAATGTTTGGATAGAGAGCCATAAATAACACTGCCCATCTTAACACATTTGTTGTGGTTTCTGTCCCAGCTATGATGAGTTCTCCAACAGAGAAAATTAAGTTTTCTCTTGAATATGTAGATTCTGGATCATTTTCATTGCAATCCATTTCATCTAAATATGCATCTACAAAATGTCGAGGTGACTGAGGCTTCCTATTTTCAGAGACACGTTCAATAAGCTCATGAAGAAAGTCATAGACTTCAGCTGCGTTTTTAAACAGCTGCTGGTGTTTCCCAAATGGCAAGATACCAATCCAAGGAAAAGCATTATATAAAAATACAGAAGCACTAGCAGCTAATTCAATATTTTCACTGAAAATCTCAATCATGTGCTGAAATTCATTATCTCAATCCTTTCTCCCCCCAGGCTGTATTGATACTGGGGGTTACCCCATCCCAGGTGCAGGACCTTGCACTTGGCCTTGTTGAACCTCATGAGGTTCACACAGGCCCACCTCTCCAGCCTGTCCAGGTCCCTCTGGATGACATCCCGGCCTTCTGGTGTGTCAACCGCACCACTCAGCTTGGTGTCATCTGCAAACTTGCTGAGGGTGCACTCTATCTCACTGTCCAAGTCATTGATGAAGATGTTGAACAGCACCGGTCCTAGTACGGACCCCTGAGGGACATACTTGTACCATATTTGGTACATGATACAATAGAATAATATACACAAACCTTCCTTTTTGGTTATGACTATGGATCACTGCACCACTTTGAAAAAGCATTTTAAATTTGCAATAGGGAAGTATATCAGTTCCTCAAAATGTCAAATTCTTACCTTGAATGTTTGGATAGAGAGCCATAAATAACACTGCCCATCTTAACACATTTGTTGTGGTTTCTGTCCCAGCTATGATGAGTTCTCCAACAGAGAAAATTAAGTTTTCTCTTGAATATGTAGATTCTGGATCATTTTCATTGCAATCCATTTCATCTAAATATGCATCTACAAAATGTCGAGGTGACTGAGGCTTCCTATTTTCAGAGACACGTTCAATAAGCTCATGAAGAAAGTCATAGACTTCAGCTGCGTTTTTAAACAGCTGCTGGTGTTTCCCAAATGGCAAGATACCAATCCAAGGAAAAGCATTATATAAAAATACAGAAGCACTAGCAGCTAATTCAATATTTTCACTGAAAATCTCAATCATGTGCTGAAATTCATTATCTTCATATGTAAAACGTTCTCCAAAAATAATCAAATTAGTAATGTTTGAAACAGCATTTGTTATCAAGTGCTTAAGATCAAATGGTCTGCCTTTGTATGTATCGATGGCATCAAGAAAAAACGTTGATTCTTCTGTAATTTTGTGTTCAAAGCACCTTTGACCATATCCAAAAGTTCGAAAGGTATTTACAGCTAATTTGCGATGTTCTGTCCATCCTCTGCCATATTTACTGTTCAGTAAGCCTGGAAAAATATTTTGACATAGTATTTTATGCAACGCTTTATCCCCATAAGGTAATAAAATTATTTAACAAGACAAAAAGCGAGACAAAAAAATTACACACATCTTGCTATGGAACATAGTCCAAGAGCGACAATCCTTTCCAAATAATGTCTTTAAAGAAGCATCAAGTATTTTATGAAAGGAGACAAAGAAGTAGAGAAAACGGCTAAAGCAAGTGTCTCATGTGATCATAAACCCATCTATTGGACAAAAATTACATTTTTTATTATAAATACATTAGCATTTACCTCCCATGTTTGTCAGCTTCTTAAACAAGGGAAGAGACGGTCTATCTGCAAAAATTTCGCTTTGATGAACAAGGCATTCTTTTACCGCATCATAGCCGTTCAGTACAATAGCAGATATACCTCCAAGATCAAGACTGAAGATCTTTGGGGAAAAAGAAATAAATAAAAATCATAAAATGCTCTAACAACCAAATCTTAAGAACAAATAATGAAAACAAGTAAAACAAGTAATAGCAAGGTGAAACAACACTAAACTGCAATGCAAAATACAGACTTGAATGAACATCAGGAGGGCATACAGGTAGCCAGAGGTGATACAACTGTGGCATTACACAGTAGAGCTGTTGTGAGCTGATTTACTCTGTTAAAAGATAACGTAAATTAGCCCATGCTACATCCTGTGCTTGCTGTGTACCTACAGTGACCAGCTCTCTAAAGCAAGGACTGGGGATCCTTTCATATAGTCATTAAAAACATGTGGATTTGGTACAACAATACATATTTTTCAGAAAAAAATGTCCTGACCCTTAACATTAGTAGATATACATAGATACTAGTACAAGTATATACTTACAAGTATGTAACACAACATTATTAGACAAAAGGTATAGTTTATATATAAGAACTAGAAATAAAGTACATATATTGCCTACTTTCCTAATTCGCTGAGACTATTTCCACAGGAGGGAGGAAAGCTTTACTACTGTATCTGCTCCTCCTCCCTGCCTGAGTAAAGGTAAATTCCAACAGTTTAATTTAGTTAAGGGCGCTATGACTGAAGCTGCAAGTTCATACCACGAAGACTTCCAACATGTCACTTAGTAACGGCAGACACAGAAGTGGTGTCAGTTGTGAAAACAGCCAAGCTGCAAACAGTCCTTTCTACCTCTGAAACTGGACACCAGCTTACTTTGCACAGGCTCCCAAAAAGCCACCAGATGATAGAAGTGAGAGCCATGATGACAGCCAACAAATGACAGCATAGCCCAGCTACTCCCATCTCCTGTTTCCAGAAGTGGTTAACACTAGATGTTTTGGAGAAAGATGCAATACATCCTGCAGAAGGCACATACAGGATAAACAAAATGAAAATCTTAACCTAAGTTTTAAAAATTAAAACCGAGGCTAAACTCAAGATTGAAATCCTATATCCCTTTCCACACAAAAGGGTTGTCAGGCACTGGAACAGTCTCCTCGGGCAAGTGGTTGAGTCCCCATCCCTGCAGGTATTTAAAAGCCGGGTAGATGTGGTGCTTCGGGACATGGTTTAGTGGTGGACTTGGCAGTGCTAGGTTAACGGTTGGACTCAATGATCTTAAGGGTCTTTTCCAATGTAAATGATTCTATGACTATTTTGCTTTAGCAAATCTGATATTTTTACTGTTACAATGGCTCTTTTTTATGGGCAAGAAGTCACTCCCAATATATTTCTGCAAACCATTTGTGAGTTTTGTATACTTTGATCATCGCTTATTTATCTTTCTTCCTATGTCATACATAACCTAAAAAAAAAATCCTTTCACTGTATTTTTTCAGGGCACCCCAAATCCTGATATGCCGTCTTCAAGTTCCCTCAAATCCTGCAGGATCCTTTCTGACAGCAGGTGGCTAGAACTACAAACAGCATACCAGGCAAGTAGAAAGCTTAAGTTTATTTGATGACACGTTTTCCTTCCTATTTCCATTCTATTTGTCCTAGTATTTTGTTTGAAACACATTTACTTTTTTCTATTGCCAAAATAAATGAAACAAAGGGTAATCCTAGCCTTTTGTTTCTGCCATTTAGCACACTTTTAATTCGTGCATTTTGCTTCGCTTCTCATTCATGACAAGACTGTGACTATTCTGTTTCTGCCACGGCTTTCATGAATGATCTGAACAAAAGCTTTTGACAGACTGAAGTCCGAGCAAGTTTTATCTGCTTGTTAGGGGTGTTATATTTAAACACTTCCAGCAAATTGAAGGACATGATTTTCTAGATAAACCATTGTCTACTGGACACAAAGCTTCACAGACCTCCAGCGATAATCCTGCCAAATAAAACACCGCAGGTGTTACAAATAGCCTGGAGATGTACAGGCAGGCCGAATGGCTGGCCAGCGTGCGCTGACTGCCCAGCTGCTACCAAAACGTACGTGCGTGTGCACGTTTATGTACGTGTACACATGCACACTTACAAATGCTAACACCTGCCTGCCCTTCCCTGCTAGATTGAGTTTGGGGTTAACTTTTATGAAGCTTGTAAGAATGGACTGATTGCTTGAAAAGTGAATGTGAAAAGAAATGCCTGATATATAAGCAAGTATGACAAAAAGAAAAAAGTCCATTCTTACATAGTTTTACTAATTGACTCTAAGCAAGTATTCCAGTACCCCACTGAAGATACTTTGAAGCAATGTGTATTCTGGGAAAACGTTGCATTGTCCAAGTGCGTGCTATTTGGTTGGTTGTTGTAATTTTGTTAGTTTTAAGCCCTTTTGGTGTGCCCGCGGCTTGCGGATATGAAACTCGCGAGTTATTTCCACTTGCAGCAGGACACCGGTTTAAACATTGCACCAAAACCAAAATAGAAGCAAGCGCGGGGCAGGCAGACCGCGCCCCTCCCGCGGTACCCAGGCAGCTCTGGCGTGCGAGAGGTGAAAACTCCTCCCCTCCGCCGCCGCTCCGTTCCCGCTCCCAGCTTTTGGCAGAGCCCCGCGCTGCGAGCCCCGCCGCCCAGCGG